ACTCATGGTGTTTTTAAACCGTCTTGTCGTGGAGGTAAACGACTTGGTCTCTCGTTAGGCTCTCGTGTCAGCTATGTGGGCGGTGTTATCAAACGTACGACTATTTCCACACGGTTTGTAATAATATATTTTCCACATTTATTTGTACAATAATATCGATGTGTTCTTTTCTCGTTCCTCGAAGACGTTGGGTGCGGTGGGCCCTCGGATAAAGGTGCTGCTTAGAGTAAATAATAATAATGTATAAAGTTGTAACATCATATTATTATAATATAATGCACCCTATACTAGGCGATGAAGTGGCAAAGAAGGCGTGAACACTTTAAATAAAGAATGTTTTCAAACGTTGTTAAACGCTGCACAGTGGAACAAATTAAAAAAATATGTACCCGAGAAATTTAATTCTGCCATTCTGGTCACACTGCAGCTCGCCCTTTTGCTTGCTTCATAATACAATTTTACCTGTTCTGCGCCTACAAATTGGTATAATTATTATTGAAAAATGGTTGATTTTTTTTTTTTTAATATCGAATTAATGTTCTTTTTTTGTTTCGCGCGACGAACACCGTTAAAAAGTAAAATTTATACAAATAATTAAAAACAATGACAGGTATCCAATAAAAAAATAGCTTTCTAGCTCATAAAATATATTTATTGTTTTCTCTGTCGTAAAGACACACTGTTTGTTCGGTAGGTACACCGATGTGCCATTGTGTGGCTGTTATTTGTGTTAAGGACTATGTTTATTGTAGAATTAACATAATTATTACCGTTTTAATGGATACAAAATGCAAAAAGGTCACAAAATTTATTTTCATGATGTAACAGTTATTATTGATTGTGATCATTTTTTATTGATGTTTGTGCGACAGTTAAATTTATTGTGTAAGAATAAATTATTTACTAAAAATCACAAAAAACAGTTGGTAATTTGAGCTTATGCCAAGACCACCGTTTGCTAATAAATCGGATTTAAATTTTATTATAACACGTTTTATATTGTTATTAGACTTAACATACAAATTAAAACAAGAAGAGAATAATGGGCGTTGGCATTAAAAAAATAATCCGTAGTGATTTAATTTACATTAATTAAACTTACATAGTTCTCTTGAAGTATTTACATACATTAATTACTATTATATTCTTATTAGTTATAACTGCAGTTAACTATCATGTTCAATGTTTATAATATTATATGGCCAAGACCAAGGTATTTTTTGTTTGTTTCAATACTAAAATAGATAAATATAATTTTAATAACTGTAGTTGGGACTTACAAGTGTTTAATTGTGCAAGTGCACATATTGAACAATTTCAATTGCAGTAAAGTAGTAGAAATTATATTATGAAGAAAGAATCAATATATTGTACATTAATTAAAATTATTTGTGTAATGATATGTTTCATTTATAAATGTTCAAAAATTGAAAAAAATGAATTTTTTGTTAGATGTAAGATTATAATATAAAACGTTTAGTTGACACTATTATCCGTTTATGTAATAAAAAAATAAATACTCCACTTTGTATGTTTTTAAAAGTATGTACATTAACTATTATCATTTATTCTCGTTAAATTGAACGTGATTCATTGTATAAAATGTATAACACAAAAGTCAATGCGAGTAATTATACATTTACTAAGTACACTGCTAATTAGGTAACGAACGTGAATTGATGACCTTCGTTTGGCTCCAGTCGAGTTTCACGACCAAAACAAACGTGTCTAGTGCGGCTGAGTGATGATACAATTTCTGTAATTGACTTTATTTATCTTAATTTGGTCCATTGGATATAATATATACATTATATGACATTGAATAGTAACATCTAGATAGTTATTTTGTGAATTATTATCATATGTATATCAACTTCTTCAGATTTATGAAGACATTTGAAAATACTATAGTGCTAGTCTTAAACACTAGCAAACATCAATAAAGCTTTAATCGATTTTTAATTAAATTAAATAAAAATAGTTATATTTTTATTATTTTAATAAAATAAATTTAAACATTGTTAATATTATTAGTTTACCAATTTTAAATGTATGTTTTAATTTGTTCGTTAGTAGTGCATTTGTAATGCATTTCCAGAAAGTGTACTTTTCAAGATAAGGTGCCTATATTGAAAATATACAATACCTATATTTTACTTTATAGTGAAATAAATTGATTATTTCGAAATATTGCCTTATCGCACTATAGTAATAACTCCACCGTTTCATTATGACTTACTGCGATGTAGATATTAATTTTTACACAGTATCCACATGATATTTTAACCAATAAAAGATTTAACACATTTATACCTAAATACTTGACTCAGAGTTTATTTAGCTTTTCTGTGAAGAAATTAGTTACATACACAATTTAATATATTATAAAAACCTTCAATAAAAAATCATTCAGTCAAATTTATAATATGTATCTATGTAGTATACCGGAAAGGTCCTGTAACTACTAACTTTAAATAGAGACAAACGACATATTTTGCAGAACTACTTTTTACTTTGTAGGTTTTGTTAGTCTTGGTTAGAAAATAATGTTTTTTATCATTTTTTTTTTTTTTACATTAAAGTATACCGTGGTTCATTATGATAAGTATTTCTTGTTAAAATCATTTTACTGTCAAGTAAAGGAGTTGAAAAATCCTCTCAAATTACTTTGAACAAATGTAATTATACATTGAAATATTCCAAACAGCGATGTGCTCAGTTTAAGTATTTCAGGACAAAGAAAATTCAATATATTCACTTAATAAAACAATTACTTCAATGAGTATTTGTCGACAGTCGCAAAAATTTGTACCTGGAGCTATTGTAAAATAACATGTAAAACATATAGCCCTGTTTGTTTCTCATTGTAGCTTATCAGTTTTCTAACAATGTGGAATTTCAAATACTCAGGTATTGTGTGGTCTAAATGACGTCACTGATTACCAAGAGCTGTATAGCTACGATTCAATCAAATATTGTAAATTATCAGAATATTTTTTACTTCTATTTTGAACTTGTGGCGTCTTACAGTGAAATATTACTTTACTAAAGTAAAATTCTACAAAAAAAAAAAAATGTATTAGTTGTTTGATTGAATTTTTGAAATTAGTTTAAATCATTTAGATAAAAACCTTTTGTCGACCACAAACAGCTTTAACTATACCTTTTTTAAAACCACCACATTTTTGTATTGAAAAGGTTTTCTATTAATAAATATTTTACACTAGGCTCTTGAAGTACTATTATCATTTATACAATTTTTATTAAGTGTTTTAAAATTACAAGCTAAATAGGAGTACCCAATTTTTCAGTTTGATTTGCATCAGTTTTTATTGGAGAGCAAAATAGAAATTATTTCTTATTGGTGATGTTCGTTATAGTTTTTCTTTAATATCTCTTTCAATGATTGATGAAAAGTTGTAAATCCAGCGCATATGGTTTTGAATTGACAAATATTGTATGGTTGAAAATTTGGGTTTGAAAATAATATCACTTATATCCTTGCCATTTTGTTTTCTAAATATAATTATCATTAGAACTTATTTTTGTGTGAATCGAAGACATTATTACAGTTCGGTTTATTTTAATATCTCATAAAGTTGGGCTATCCTAATTTGCTTCTCCCGAAAATGGCAAAAAGACGCTTATGTCTATATATATATATATACATAGAACGTTAATGTATGACTTGCGTTTTGTCGACAAATTAAATTTCAACACAACACATTCAAATGTAATAGATAATATGTTTCGAAGGTGTATGGAGGTGCTATAATATACCTTGGCAATTATTGAAATGGTCAGTTAATTAGCTTGTACAAGACACACACTTGGGTGTGTCGTAGGTACAAGTTTATTACCTATACTGTAATGTGAGTAGTTTTTTTTTCTTTTTCACGGTGTCTATTAATGCATTGGAGTTGGCTTAGTTTACTAATTACATTACTGTTTACACTGATGCACACACCCGTTGACTACTGATGTTATATTTTAGTCCGGCAATAAAAAAGTTAAATGAATATACTTACATTTTTTTATACAACCCAGAGAGGCAGGATGCTTGCTAGATGCGTGTAAACATGAAATTATCGCGCCTTTTTTGGTCTCTATGTTATGTGTGAACAATTATTTATAATATAATATGTATGTGTGTTAAGCACACACAAATAATAAAAAGCAGTCAAAACCGGCTTCCGTAAGACCTACTGTTTAAGAAGTTTAAGATTAAGAGTTAAGGAGTTTTTGGCAAAATCTTAATGTAAGATTAACAGATATGTAATCATTCACGATTGTACATCATTGGCAACCGTTTGAAATCATTGTTTCAATCTAAACTTGTTCAAGCATTACAGAATGAGGTGCTCTTCAAAATGATTTTAGAGATAAAACACCTGCAAATAAAAAATATATAGGACAAGATGTTCTCTTAAGATGCCAACATTTTGTGGATTGTACACAATTTTGGGTGTATTATGTGTAATATACATTAAAATATATGCAATTATTATACATTGAACGTATTATAAATATGCATTGAACGTGCACAAAATAATGTAAATCTGTTTTTAATGTTGGTTTCTGTTTTATCCTATTAAGGCAAACAATACAATTATTTTGTACGTCCAAAACGAAACGTCACGTTTGCAAATAACATAGCAGACCAATTTTCAAGTGTCCCCCCATTTGTTTATTACTTTTTTAGAGACTATTTTGCAACAAAAAAAAAAACACATACTCAAGAGTCATGCGATATAACAATTATAAAAACATTAATAACATCAGCCGCTATTCGTATCGACAACTATTCCAGATAATAATAATAATAATAATAATTGTACAAACAGTGGTTAAACGGTTGTATAGTAATAATTATGCATTGTCTTTGACGGGATAGATTTATTATATTGTACTCATGTATGTCTGTGTGTGAGTCATAAATTCGATGTGAATATTTTCTACAGTGTGTTGTTTAATATTTGCAATTTGTAATCGTGTTTCAGCTCTAGACACCAATAATGTCACTGTGAAAAAGCAAGTATTGGAATTACTATCTGCACTATGCGTGTACAACATAGAAGGCCACGGCAGAGCACTTGATACCCTTCAACACTACAAGGCAAGTAGTATACCATAATAATAATTATTATTACTATTAATGCGCTCGCTTACCTAAAAAGTAAAAATATATACCTATTTTTTTACTGTTTAATAAAGTATGTCCAAGCTCAGAAGACAGTTGAATGTTGAATTATGTCAGTTAATGTACCTACCTACTTGATAGTTTTTTCAATACACTATAAAAGTACAAATTGAAAGTTTGTGAATTATATTTTTAAAGAAATAAATCAGTTCCGCAAACCACGACAAAGTGTCCATTTATGGTCTTGTTTAAAAATTTGATATTTGACTAGCTAAACGGCCATAACTAGTAAATCAGTATCTATTATAGGCAAATCATTAAAACGGTTAAGAGCAATACAAACCGTGGTGTTTATAGCGCAAATGAGTGTAAATTAATTACTAAAAAAATATATTCACTATAGCAAACGTTATTTCATTTGTCAGACCTTCGTGGTACACACTCTGTATATACTTAGATTTTTCCCCCGACTTTTGCACACTAAATAGTAGCTACCTAATTTCTATAAGTTATTTAATCATTGAACTATTTATCTAAGTAGTCAATACTTGTCGGTTGATAATGTACCTACCCAGATGAATACTTTAAAAAGCATTATTAGGTACCATTTACAACAATAATAATAGGCAGTGATTTGTGTGTTTTAATCTATTCAATTCATCTAATTACACTATCGAAAGAGGAAACAATAATTTCATTATACACATTAAACTGATAAGTTTAATCATGACATTTTTATCTATGTAATAATATATAATATATAAAATATGTAAATTTTGCACGCTTCTATCCTACCGTCCGTTATTATCCATTGTGGATTAGTATCAAATGAACATTTAATGAGTTTACCTAACCAGTAACGTCTTTAGACGACCAAAGGATCAGAAAATTGTCTGTTATGTCATTTCTTGTTGCCATTTTCGCTTTATACTATCAGTTTCAGTTAGAGATAGGAGATAAGAGGTAAGAGATAGGAGATTAGAAATGGCATATCTATGGTTCAATGTTTTTCCATGGAGTTGGTTTTTGTAGGGACAGTGAGAATACCGTTGATCCATCCATGTGCAACACTTTATTATAGGGACATAAATAATTTATAAATAAAGATAAAAAATATTAACAACAAATAAGCAGTTATAAATTCTAGGTTAATTCTAGATGAGATGCCTCTTTCTGTGTTCTAGGCACTTCTTCCTTTATTTTATATTTTAATATGTATATATGAATACAGAAAAAGGAGGCGGGGATCTAGAATTAACCATAACCTGGACTTGCTGATTATTTAATTTTAATCTTATTTAAGATATATATTTTATTCTTTTATCGTTTGTAAAACGCATAAACACACAAACTTATTTATTTAATATATATTTAACTTATTGATCAATTATTTATTTATTTATTTTAACTGAAAATGCAATTAAACACACGCAGTTTTTAACATGGATATGTTATTGGGCTGGATTTAAGAAATTTCAGGTTACCATTTTCGCGTTACACTTACATTTTCAGTTAATGATAAGAGATAAGAGATGTACGATAAGAGAGATGAGATAACATGATATCCATGATTTAATGTTTTTCCGTGGAGCGTGGTTTTAATGTACACAGTTTTTATTTATTAGAAGTACGATTGTTATTTTATTAACCCTTTGTCATTCCTATTTTCGTTGCAGGAACAGAAAAATGAGAGGTACCGGTTGCAGATCGTGGTCCGCGAACTGCAATGGGCCCTGTCAAAAGGCAAAGAGACGACGGACTACCAGACAGCCATTGTGGCTTTCATCAACTGTCTCATAATATCGACACCGCAGCTCCGGGACCGGATAAGAATACGAAACGAGTTCATAGGTGAGAATAATATTTACATGCTAAAATTAAGTAATTACCGTACCTACTATTCAAGAAATTTTAGGTCGCCATTTTTGCGTTACACTTAAATTTTAATGATAATAGATAAGAGATAAGATAAGAAATAAATGATATACGATAAGAGATGAGTGATAAGAGAGATGAGATAACGTATCCATGATTTAAAGTTTTTTCGTGGAGCGGATTGGATAACTAGATTTTTTATATAGGGATAGTGAGAATTTAGTAGGTATGGCAATTAAAATAAATTAAAAAAATTGACGTTGTTAACTTTAAGAGCTTGGTGTGAATAGGAAAAAGAGAAGATAGGTATTGTCTTAGCTTTAATACAAGATATTAGGATACAGGCAGATCGGATTTCATACCCATTTGAATTTGAAAAAAGTTTCTCTTAGACTATATGTGGGACAGAAAGTTGATTTTTAAGCTCATTAGAAAGAGCTTGTCGAGAAAATAATACAAAGTACCAATTAAAAAACAAATTATTCAAGTATTTTACAATTAAAAAATGGGGTTAGAGATAATAGATTACAGATAAGATATTAGAGGCACAAGATTGCTGGACATATCCATGTATCTGCATAAAGTGTGTAAATACTCTTAGATTTTCTTAAAAACACATTCCCCCCCCCCCTATTAAATTTTCATACTTTTTCAATTAATTGCTCAATAAAAAGAGATGTTTGTCAAAACAAAATTAAAATTCTAGAAAGTCTACAAGCGTTTTTTTTTTTTTACACTGTGTTATTAATAAACGTGCAACGAATGTCGAACCGAAGCATTACATAACCACGTGTGTCGCACATACTTTAAATTACATTAATTTTCATATTAGATACTGTTGTTTATAATTTTTTTTTTCAACTTTATTATCCGTTTAACGGCCTCTCGCCGTTATGCAATCCAATGGAAAATAATAACGGATGACTATCGTACACAGATACAATTTTTTTTAATAATCATTTTTTAACTAGCTACAGTATTATTATCGTTATCGTGTTATCGTTGTTGTTGTACTCAAAACTAGCCCTTTCACTGAAAAATAACCATTTTACCATTATTATTATTATTTACTATCGACAAAGAAAATCTGCAGTCGTTTCCAACCTACAACAGTAAAATATATTTTATTATAAGTACTAATTTCATTGATGTTGGTGCCCAATGGAAAATGAAATCAGGTTATTATTATTGTTATTGTTTTTTTTTTCATTCCAGGTCTTAAACTGCTGCCGATACTGACCGAGCTGAGGTAATTGTACGAATTATGTAAATAAGTAGATGTATATAATCGTATGGGCAAAAACAACACCAATGGGTCGTTTCTACCTATTCCTTTACACAAGCACACGTTAAGCAACCAGCTATAACCTAACCCCGTGTAATTTCTTATTTTAATGGTTTTTAACCGAATGACAAGCGACTCTAAAGCCAGTGTCCTCTGGACCAATTAGTTGTCTTGCATCGTTTACACAATGCCATTATTGTTATATATGTATATTTTTTCTCTTGCACCGAATTTTAAACAAGTCACCCGGATGCTGTAAAAATATGTACATATATTAATTATACTCGCCTGTAGACAATTGTGTATTGTTTAGCTTACAAGTCACCGTTTAAATAAGCAATCAATTAACTGTTATAATTATATTTGTCGATCAACTTATATTATTTTCGTTTCAATCGATTTTAACGTTAACTGCATTTAGAATAAATTGTTATTTTTTATGGAAAAAAAAAATGTAATTTTACAGAACCCTATCGCTTAATATGGTAAAAAAAATCATTGCAAAACGGTTGAAGTAAAAAACCGCAACAATTAATTTCAGACCTCAGGGGAACTTGGTAAACTAATTATCTAACCGGGACAACCGGTTGATTTGTTTTAAGAATTAAGAAATCTGGTAAATTTAAAGAAAAAAAAAATAATAAGTTGAAAGTGACAATTTTTCCTGTTTTATTTTTATTTTAGTTCAATCGATTAAAATTACTATTCTTACTGAACATTTTTAATTAGTTTTTTAACCATGAACAATGTTAGGAGACTGCAAACCTAAGCTGTATGGACAATTCTAATGTCGTTCATTGAAAAGTAAATTTACAAAGAAAATAAATAAAATGTTGAACTTGTAGAGTTTTATATAAAAATTAATTTCCTCGTAAAAGGTTGTAAAAAACAATTTAAAAAAAAATTGTAGGTACTTATACAAAAAAATGTATATTGTTGGATTGTAAATTAATGCACCTCTTTTATTTATGTCAAAGTAATTTAACGGCATGCTACAATTTATCTAATTTTGTTGCTTTTTTTTATAGTATAACAGCAGAAACAGCTAATAACGCATAGTATAATTGTTGTAACCAGTTTAAGATGTTTGTCCTTATTGTAATAAGCGAGACTACATCTTGTACCGATGTGAAACGTTAACTGAAAACTTGTACATATATATATATACACATTTAACCGATAAAAAATTCCCAAAGACACATGCCAATAAATGTTTTTTCCCCTCTGTGTGACTTTCCCAAGCGAAGTGAAACAATTTTAAAAGAAATTTACTAGATCTAAATAATATCCGGCTGCGTTGTCTTCGCATACCGTCCAAAAACAGCCGCACTGACTCTTATAAGTCACTATTTATAGACTCTCTTTTTCAGACAACGCAAGTAGTGTTAATAATAATAATGTAATAATATACACTGTAAACGCGGTGTTTATTGTCACAAGCCCTTCAGAGCTCTCGGCTTCCATATTGCATTAATGTGTGTAGTCTGTTTTGTTAAACGTTTATGGATTCCATTGAAATTTCACAGCACCCCATCGTTAGTCGTTAGTCTATCATAATATCAACTTAGGCCGACTGTAAACAACCCGAACAGCTGCGGATAAAGTCAATCGATTAAGTATATTTTATGTGCCGGAAGATGCGTTTAAACAAATTACACATAAAGTATATTCATTCGAGAAACGTTACGCATTGCTATAAAATCACATGCTCCAACATTATGTTCAGAAAAAAAAAAGAGTTTAACCTTTTTGATTTACAGCTCGAGTAAAAAATTGTCATTTACTTATACTTACTCGGTAAGGTAAATTTAGGTAATTACATTGATAAAGGCCGTACAAAAATTTTCTTTTCTATACAATAAACACCTAAACTACTAACAGGCGAGATAAATTGTATTAAAATAATAACAAATAAATAAATAAATGTTTAAAAAAAAACACCTTAACTATATTATAGTCTGTACGTTTGACGTTTTAATTGGAGTTAGCCAATTCAAATGAGTAATCTCTAAAATGTCAGATCCCTAGCTTAACTCTAAGTACTTCTTAATGATTTTTCTTTACAAATAATTTGATTGAATAAAATATTTTTATTTAAAATCAAAAATGTTCCACGTGAATCAAATGGAAAAAAAATGAACTAGGAAGTACTTGGAGTTAAGCTATAGGACTGAAGTTTTATTTGAATAGGCTACTATCGGTTAAGAAAGTAAGTAAATAAAAATGTGTTTTTAGACACAGTCTACTGTACATGCTAAGTACTTATGCCTACTGAAATGTAGAAACTTGTAAAATTTAGAAATATTACAACTACAATCGAAAAACAAATTTTGTTATTTCCATAACATTATTTCTTAAAATTAGTTGGTAAAAATTAATATTTTATATTTCTATTAGTTTTAATATGTATAAACGTAAAATTGTAATTTTAACAATCGTTAAAGAAAGTAAATATTTTTTAAAGATCAAAATATTATGTTTTAAACTATTTTTATGATATATGTGTAGAGTACATGTTAAAAAAATACAACGTCCATAAAAATTATAAACTATATCTAAACGCACAGATAAAGTTATGCAAATTCTTATTAGAACAATTACTCGAATAAAAGGTAAATCGAATAATTCGTTTTCGATTAATTTGAATAATTGTTTTTGTAATTCTTCGAATAAAAAAATGTTTTTCCTATTAATCATACAAGTTTTATATATATTTTGTAAATGTAGTATATATTATATTTCTACAAAAAAAAATATTGCTTAAAAATATAACTACTTTAAAAAAACACAAAATTAAAAATTATCCCAATGATTTAATTTGAAATTAATCAAATAAATTTTCATTCGAATAATAGTTTTTGAAATTATTCGAATAACTTTTACTTGAATAATGTATTATCTAGATGATTATATGTAGATAACGTTTTATTCAAACAATGCACAACAACTCTGCGCACAGGCATGTTTCCTTATAGCATACAATTCAAAAATAATTGTTGTCTTTTTTTTGTTATTCGAAAATGTTTCATAATATTGTTGTTATAGCTTTTTATTTGTATTAACCTATCCAATATATAGTATAAAATGGTCTCAAATGTAGTCACAAAAAGTAAATTTTACAAGAGAGAGAAATTTTAAATAATGTATTAATGATTATAAATTATTATTAACTAATCAAATAGTTTCATTCGTTAAACTAATCGAGTAATAATTTAAATTAACCAATTTAATTAATTAACTTAAATGGATGAACTTGAATGGAATCATCTAAGAGTCCAAACGTCGCTAAAGGTAGATATTTTACATATTATTTATGTATATAATATATTTTTCTAATCTTTGAGAATTTTCATTTTTTTTTTAAATTGTTTTAATGTATTTGCACTTTTCACGAATGTTCTTGCATTATTATTTTGTATTTTAATTTCGTTAATTGTGACAAGCCTTTGAATTGATCCAGTCAATTGGGCACAGGGCAAAAGAAGGGTAGTAGTCCATTTGTGAAACATTTTTTTTTCAAATAGTTTTTTTCAATATATGCTATCATTTCGTTTATTTATGTCAGTTGTCAATAGATCGTTTAAGCAAATACAAAAGAATAATTAGTAGAATAGTACTTAATGTGATTTATTTTTTTGTTCTTATGTAAGATGGAGAGGAATTCACCACGAACTACTACCCTTCTTCCTCTGTGGCCTTCATATACATATAAATAAATCAGTGTATAGAGAGCGAAATTTAAATCCAGGTGAACCAAAAAACTGGGAAATTGAAATTTTTTACTTAATACACTTTTGCGCCGAGGTAGTACTTACGGATATGCATTTTGGGTACACATTTGCTTTGCTAGTACTCTACAAAAAGAATTCTTTCATCCGACTAGCCGTCGGGCTGCTAGCCAAATAACATATAATGTAATATATGTATATATTTACTCACACATTCAAACGGGCAGGGTTCTATTGTGGCGCACACGACTGACGCTGTATAGCGTTGCGCTGGAGTCCAGAATTAAATACGTACAGGAATAGTACATCGTATCTCCTTGCTGCCATGTCTTAGACGGTTGTTGTCGGTGAGAAAAAAAAAGCAACTTCCTTAGTAGCCGGATAAAAACCGTGTTTAAGCTATTTCCAGTAAACGTCAGTCGTTCAGCAACCGGGTTCGGCACAACAGCATCGTTGTCTGATTGTGTGTGTGTGTGTTTTTTTTTGGGGGACTTTATACTTGACTACTATTTAGATACATACTTGTTGGAGTGTTGTCCCTTTAGCCCTAACCTTCTGATTAAAGGAAGGAAGCGGCGGAAAACCCGGACTTGGGTGTGCAGCTGGACGTGTTCGACGAACAACGCGAAAACGACGAATCGCAAATCTTGGACGTACCTTTTCGCGGTGTCGACATCAACTCTCACGTGGACTTGTTTTATGCCATTTTGAAGCAGGTAACAATTATTACAAGCTTATCTGGTTTTCGTTTAATTCCCCCCACCCGACCTTAATCCCACCTAAGAACCTCTGTACCTAAAAGTTACATTACGAGGCCAAAAATAAAAATAAAAGTCACCCCTTCCGCTTCAAAGTCGAGAAAAACGTACATATTTTTCGACTTAAAATTACTGCGCTCTACAACTATTGAAAAAAACATGCTTTTCTAAAAAATAGTAAAAAAGTGAACTAAAAAGTAAAAAATAATTTTACTACAAGAACAATAATTTACCAATCGATTGTATTAGCTGCAATTTTGAATAATGTTAAACATCATTGATTTGTGACCAAGTCCCCTGATAAATTTATCAGACAATGTTTTATAATGTAAGTTTATTTTGTAATTTAAATTTGGATACATTTTTTTAGTGTGTGACACATACATTTCATAATACTTAATGAATTTGTTGAATATGGCCCACGCTTTTCTTTTTAGTAAAATATTAAAGATGTTTAACGTTATTTAAAATTATAGTTGATTTCCGGTTGTTTTCAAAGTAATTGACATTTTGAAAAAGGAATGTGTTACAATTGATTGGTAAACTGTTTATTGTAGTAAAATTATTTTTTACTTTTTGGTTCACTTTTTTACTATTTTTTTGAAAAGCTTGTTTTAAAAAAAAAATGGGTTTATTTTATTTTTTACTTTTTAGTCCTATTAATGGTACTTAATAACTGTGAATATATTACTTAATTGATTTTGCAAGATTTGTAGCGACTTAAAGAAAAGCATGTAAATAGCATTTCCCGGAGAAGGGATAGACATTTTGTTTTTTTTACTTCACTTTTTCAAGCAGTTTTAGATATTTAGGTCTGACAATTAGACCTAAGGTAGATATAGAAAGGGCCTATAACATATACAATTTTCTCAAAAATCTGAAGTCAAAACTAAAGGAGAAACAAAATAAAGGGAGGAAATTACACTTTGACCGTAGTCAGTTTCCAGTTTACTGTGTGTGAGTGAAGCAACAGTTATCAGCTATTTAAAAATATTTGCATTAATTGTTAATTGCAATAAATTATTTTTAGAGAGACGATCAACTTTATTCATATCGACCCTAATGTTTTACTGAAAATACATTTTTTAAGCACATTAATATTACTAAAAATAAAAATATTTTGGTAAGATCTTTCAACAAAATAATACATAGTTGGCCACCAACTACAGTTATGGTTAATATACGAATACAATACATTTATAGTTGGAATAATTAAATAAATAGTCGGCCAACTAAATGTTTAGTTAAAGCAACCTATAAAATATTAAGTTTGGACAACTAACATGATTCATTTGGCGCGCTCGTAGTCCGTCTCAAGAAACTTAACGATATTTTTTGCGCCATCTGAATAAAATAAATACTGTAGTGCGAGGTTAAGGTTTTTAAAAAGTCAAGATTATTTCCTTAATCTATTTTGGTTTTTGAAAACGTTCCAGAATCATCGTTAGACACGCTCTTCAAAAAAAAAAAAACGGTAGGGAATTATCGAAACAGCACCATATAATATCTCATTTCACCTAACTTTACTGAAGATCAAAAAAATAAGTTTCAATTGCCATTAAATAACATTATGGCCATGTATAACCAAAATAGCGTTATCTATAGACTTTTTTTTTCAAAAATCTGAGTCCCCGCGCAAATTCAAATTAAACAGTGTGGCCAACTTGATTTGACGTATTCATAATCATGATTATGATTTTGAGTATAATCACATGGCGAGAATGTGTGATTATGAATATGAGTGTATTCAAAAGCCATTGACTTATGATTATGATTATGAATACAGTCGTGATTATGATTATGAATAAAATGAATACGGCAAAAATCGTAGGCGTGATTATGATGTTCCCCGTATTCATATCCATGGCTATGATTTTAGCTGTATTCATAATCGTGATTATGATTTTCCCGGTATTCACAATCACAATCATATTCATAACTGCATTTTTAATCAAAATCAACGTGAATACGGCGAAAATCATAACCATGAATACGGGCAAACCATAATCACGCCTATGATTTTTGCCGTATTCATATTCACAATCATAATCATGAGTCGGGGGGGCTTGTGAATACACTCATATTTATAATCACACTTTCCCTCCTATGTGGTTGTACTCAAAACCATAATCATGATTATGAATACGCCCAGCTCTGGATGAGTAGTTATTTTTACTTGTACGGCGATAATGGATTCGCTGACAATTGCTATAGTAATCTCCAGGTTCTTTGTAAAAATTTTTTAGATAGCGGACACGCCACAAGAAATACCTTTTTTGAGCATCCTACAGCATCTGCTGAGGATCGATCCCCGGGAAGCTGTCAGCGACATAATCTGGGATACGGCCGAGACGTTGGTCCATCGTTCGACGCTGCTGGAGAACCGTCAGGACGCGTCCCGTCTGTTGCGCACGCCCAGCGTTCTGGGCCAGAGTCAACCGAGAGATGTCGGCCTGCGCGTTTGCTGTTGCGGGCGGAAACCGTCGCTGGGCCAGTCGGCCGTGACGTCTCCCTTGTCTGCCAACCCGTCGTCACCGCCGCCGCCGCCTCCACCGCCTCCGCCGCCGCCGCTCCAATCCGGAAATCCGCCTCCGCCCCCTCCGCCGCCGCCGCCGTTGATGGGCGTACCGTCCCCGCCAGCACCACCGGCGCCGTTTTTCCCGCAAAGCCAACAAGCCACCTCGGCCGGATCGCCGTCCGCACAACACGCCAACAAGCGTTCATTAGCGATGGGCAACAACGGGTCTTCCAACGCCGTGGACGCGCCTCCGCCTCCTCCGCCGGAATCCGCGTTCGCCAAATTGTTACCCCAACAGGAGACGCCCACGCCCAAGACCAAAATGAAAACCATCAACTGGAACAAAATACCTGATAACAAGGTAAACAACAACCACAGATATATGTATACATGTAATGAACTAGAATCTAGGTGATTGCCAACTAGTGATAAGAATACTGAGATCGACGTCCACCATTTTGACATGGATATGTCTTATGGAGGAGGACCATGGGGGAATTATGCAGAAATATGGAGGAGTATTGAGGAATTACGGAGGAGGATCATGGAGGGGTTATGCAGAAATATGGAGGTGGTATAGAAGAGTATTAAGGAATTACGGAGGAGGATCACGGAAGGATGATGGAGGAATATGGAGGATTATGGAGGAGTACTGAATTATGTAGAAGTATGGAGGAAGATTATGGATGTGAATTAATAGAGATAGTGGGTTAGAGATGAGGTATTAGAAATACAAGATTGCAGGACATATCCATGATATTGATCCATATGTATTATTGATGTATCTGCATAAAGTGTGGATAGTTTTAATTTTTTTATGGGATTTATGTGTATATAAAATAATGTATAATACTGTACCACAGAGGTCAAGACGTATCGCAAGTCAAAAGTTTTAAAAAAAATGAGCCACGTTCATAATCAAAATATTCATTTAATGATCTTTTTAGAGGTATTTAAACGTATTTCCAATATTCCATAAATGCTGCTTGGATAGCAAGTGGTAAACTAACGTTGGACCTAAGTCCTAAACTGTATTGTAACGTATGTTCATTTCGTTAGTTTTATTATTTATTTTTGTTTTGCTCCCATGTAAAATTTGATTTTTGTGACTTGCGTTATTTGACCTCTGTGATTTATCTCGAAAAAACGAATTCAATCAAAAACTTGTTTATTAGAGTTCATACTTTGAGAGTTTATAGGGGGACGTTCCAAAATTCAAAATTTCCGACTTACGGTCAAAAACATGTTTTCAAAAAAATGGAAACCATGTATTTTTTGTTTACCAAATAAATGTTCTTATCAAAATTAACAACTTTTATAAGAACATTTTTTCGATAAATTCCATAATTTGTGAGTGAAGTCTGAACCTATTTTTAGTTTTGTTATTTTACTTTGATGCAAAATGATGATATGATAATGCAAAATCATTTTGGCGGCGAGCAAACAATCCTTATCAATCTAAACATTATCAACACAAATCAGTAAACATATTTGTTGATACCACAGCGAAAATACGCTTATATTTTCATGTGATAAGGTTCTAATTCGCCTATCTCCGGTGGCGGCATGTATACTAGTTAGGCAGTCTAGTTTATCATAACATATATATATATATATATATATATATATATATGTGTTGTGTGTGACAACAACTGGATTAGGTAGGGGCACAGGCTAGTATAAAACCAAAATATGGAGCACTCTCTATTAAAGAAATGTAATTGTTGAAAATGAAACTTTATTTGATATTCAATAATAGTTTAACATATCGTGTAATACAGTGTGGGCACTTCTAGTCTTTTAGTTATGATATTACTAACATAATTATAACTAAACGTTTTTGTACAATCCTTTTCATTTCTGGAATGTGGTCACACTGAGCTGAGGAGGGTTTCTGTTATCAGTAAATGACAAAGTGCACCATCAGACGAGTGATTCTCGTGGTTGTGTTATTGGTGTAATGTTAACAATTTTTTTCTACTACTTTTCCAAAGGTGGTAGGACGCCATAATATTTGGTCGCTAGTGGCCAGAAGTCATCAGAATTCGCCCATGCCCGATTTGGATTGGTCGGAAATGGAAGGTCTGTTTTGTCAGCAAGCTCCTGTCGCTCCTTCCAACCAAGCGGGTGTGTTGAATTTCCGACTCGGCCAGGATACGGGAGAGTGCGACAAGAAAAGAAAAGAACCAACCGAAGTAAGTAAACGATATCCGTGTGGTGAATTTATTTTTCGTTTGAATAACCAATTTTGTTTTGCAGATAGTTTTGTTGGATGGAAAACGAAGTCTTAACGTCAACATCTTTTTGAAACAATTCCGAAGGTGTGTGTGTTTGGCTAGCAGGGTTTTATGTTTAAGTATTTAATATTGTCTTATTTCTCCTCAGTTCGAACGAAGACATTATACAACTGATCCGGGATGGCGAGCACGACGACATAGGAGCGGAAAAGCTTCGGGGTCTGCTGAAAATCTTACCCGAGTTGGACGAGCTGGAAATGCTGAGGGCCTTTGACGGGGACAAGACCAAATTGGGTAACGCCGAGAAATTCCTGTTACAACTAATCGACATTCCCAAGTAATAATAATAAGTATACGTTCGACCTAGAATTGCGATTCGCCCTTAAGGTGTACACGTGCGTCTGTGTATTAATATAAACGCCACCGTGTTGTTTTTATAATAGTTACAAGCTACGCATTGAAAGTATGTTATTAAAAGAAGAATTCGCATCGAATATGAGTTACCTCGAACCGAGTATAAATTCAATGATCGTCGCTGGCGAAGGTGAAAAAAAGCACAATTAATATTACTAAGTATAGTCAAGTAATAATAAAAAAATTCTGTTTAGATTTGATGACCAATAAACGTTTCCAAGAAGTTTTGTACATGGTCATTTGTGCAGGAAATTTTTTGAACTTTGTAAGTGACAATGATTTATTTGATTGGATCAATGGTACATAAGAAATAAAAACAACTTTGCTTGTGTTATATTTTAAGGGTGGTTATGCTGGAAAAGCTGCGGGCGTCAAGTTGAGTTCGTTGCAAAAGCTCACCGACATAAGAGCCAACAAACCTGGTATGAATCTCATACACTACGTCGCTTTGGTAAGTGTGTCAATTGAACTGCCAAAAAGAAACATGTGATAAACCTTGTTTAACTCTGTTATTTTAGCAAGCCGAGAAGAACCGCAAAGATCTACTAAAGTTTCCAAGTGAAATGTCTGTGCTGGAAGAAGCGACCAAGTAAGAATAAACTCAGAACTGTTTTCTGTTGGACGATTAATGTGTCGTTGTATTGTAGGACCACCGTGGAACAACTGCAGAATGAGATAAACGCGTTGGACTCGAGGTTCAAAGTGGTAAGGAAGCAAATAGAATTGCCGAACACAGAGCAAGACATCAAAAACCAAATGATCGAGTTTCTCAAGGTTGACACAGCTGCACAGGATCGGTGTTTGCTTATTATACTAACCGACGACGTGGTGGTGCTTGCAGGTGGCCGAAAGGCAAGTCGGTGGGCTGCAAAACGATATAGCCGAATTGGACTCGATGAGGAAGACGTTGGCGGATTTCTTTTGCGAGGACGTCAACACGTTCAAGCTGGAAGAATGCTTTCGGATCGTTCACAATTTTTGTTTAAAGTTCAAACTGGCCGTGGCGGAAAACGAGCGGCGAAAAGTCCAAGAAGAACAGGCTTTGGCCAGACGTCGGCAAAGAGAAGAGCAGCTGGCCGTTAAAAAACGTTTCCGTAGGTTTTCCAAGCATCATTGTCTTTTATTTATGGTAGCTGTTTTTTAAATTTAAATTTAATGCCACATTCGTCCACAGTCACTAGCGATCCGCAGGTAAACGCTTCGGACGCCGAGAACAACATTGTGGATTCCCTTTTGAACGATATCCGATCAGGATTTCCACACAAAAAGAGTTTCGACAAAGTGAGTTGGTTTAACAATTAACATTTAGCATAAATAGTTATGTGCTTATCGTTTTGTCCAGGGAAAGCGACCGCACAATACTACTTCGGAAGAAGACAACCTGTCGATGACTGGTTCGCCGGCCGTCGTGCGAAGACGTTTAGGCGCAATCGACAACGGCACCAGAGAAGATCAAAACTTGTCTCCCGGTAAGTTTTAGAAACAGACTTGAAAAATATATATGATTGCTCTATTTTTTTTTTTGGCAGACGTCACGCCAAACGGGAGCCTACGTCGTCGAAGAAGTCGAGTACCGTCGGAGGAAGACGACGTGACGTTAATGGACTTCTTGAGAACTTCGAACCCAGACGCTCCGCCGGTGTCTGCTAATACACAGAGAAAATCGTGGGGAAGCTTAGGTAATGAAATCATATAAAACAACAGAGCCGTTTAGAGTTATCATTATCGAACTGACATGAATTTCTCAGACCGATCCTGGGCCAGACGATTCAGAGGAAGTGGCAAAAAGAGACCGGAACTGTTGAGCGCCGATTTCAGTGCGGACCGAGAGCGGGCCAATTCGCCTTCACCTCTGGTCGAGAACAAATCGTCCATTACTTCCACGACGGCTTCGACGCCCGAAGAAGAAGCTAAACAACCAAAGTACTTATTGTTTTTTTTTTACCCTCTAAATAGCTCTCGGACAATTTGTTTTAATCTCCGTTCGCGAACAGGGCTTGGAGACAGAAAATCGAAGCGTGGCTGCAAGAGAACGAAAAAGAGGAGAAAGATTCGGACGACTTGCGGCGGAAAGCTCAGCGAGTGCAAAGCAACCGGCGATCTTTGGAAAACGACTCGGAAAGCGATGGCCGCAGTAGCATATTGGACACGTTGCCCGAAGGTAAACTAGCCGACTCCACCAACAACGAGGGATACAAAAGAGTTTACACCGACTGGCGTCCGACAATCGAGAAAACCGACGTCGTTGGAGTCATGGAAGCAATTGCAGGTAAGCCACAGTCGAGTAACGCTATAAAATATTGAAAGTTTCACGGTTTTGTGATTTGTCACAGGAGCTCAGAGCCCGGTCAAGGACAAATCGCAATGGCGCAAGTCCAACCTGAACGTGCCCAACACGACCGAAGAAATCGACAGCAATTCCAAGAGATACCAAAAGAAACCGATACTCTTGTCTAATTTCGAAAACCATAGCACACCCTTACACGTGAGTTTCGCTCGTAGTACAATTTATTGCTATTGACATTATGATAAGAGATAAGAGAGATAAGAGATTAGTGATACGAGAGATTAGAGATGAGAGATAAGAGATTCTTTATTACTTAACCTGATTGCGATTCCGCTTTGATGCAAATCCAGGCTATCAAAGAGGAAGACAGGCGGAAAGGTTTCATCGAAAAACTGGGACAGAACACGTCCGGTCCGGAACGGCTGACGGTTTATATCCGCGGTGCTGACCAGCCAGAAGCCAAGTCCAGCGTGCCCAGGAAACCGCTGACCAGTCCAGAGGCTTTGGAAGACAAGCTGCTCCCTCCGTTCGCTCCTCGGCGTAAGATTTCCGACTCGACCGGCCCGCTGGACCCGACCGACAGGGCCGACATAGATTCGGACAACATAGAAACACCGCCCACGTCTCGCCGGCAAATCGTCAAGCCACAACAGACGATACCACCGCCGCCGAAGAAGCCGGCCGAAGAAGAAACGCTGGGCGACGGTCAGTTCGACCGTTTCTCGGCGGCAAGACGTACCCGGAGATACAGAAAGACAGCCGAAGACGATTTGCCTAGGACCGTCGACAAGCCGTCGTCGTACCACAACGCCGGCGACGATACCGGCGAAGACGGCAAGGAGTTTGCCCGGACCCGGTTGTACTCTTCCATGCCCAGGACCGCTAGAAACCAGAGTGTAGTGGACCACGGCGACATCATGAAAGCAGTGAAAATCTACGGACAACTGCCGCCGGAGAAAAACTCTGCCGAACCGGCGGCCCGGATATCCGGCAGAGTGACCAAGATAAACATCCAAGACAACGGCGATTCGACGATCAACATGAAGAGCAACGAGTTCATTCCGGAAATTCGCGTGCAGGCTTTGACGCCGCCAATGAAGACCACCGTCAGGAACGAACACGATTTGAACGACGAAGGGTAAGAGCTATAACTTGGTTATATTTTAGTACGTTCTCACGAAGGGGATAATGTTAAAAAAAAACTTACGAGTATCCACACTACAACATAGGATACATAGGCACATGTATATGTCTTTATGTTCAAGTATGAGACCCTGGAACTTTTTAGTACTTTTCTTGTCTCTAATCTCTAATCTATCATATCTAATATTTTATCTAAAATCTATTTCCTCTAATGTATCATCTCTAGTATCTTATCTTTATTTTTATCTCTACTCTCTTTTCTCTATTTTTTAAATCTCTAATCCATTATCTCTATTTTTTTATCCCTCATCTGTTATCTCTTTTCACTTATCTCCAATAAGTTATTCCAAATATCTTATCTATTATCTCTAATTCATCATCTCTATTTTTATCTCTACTCTCTTTTCTCTTATCCATTATCTCTATATTTTTTAATTTAATTTAGTATCTCTAATATCTTATCTCTATTCTATTATCCCTATTTTTATCTCTACTCTCTTTTCTCTTATATCTAATCCATTATCGTTATTTTTGTATCCCTCGTCTATTATCTTTTTTCACTAATCTAGTATCTCTGATATCTTATCTCTAATAAATGATTTCAAATATCTGATCTATTATCTCAATTTTTACCTATTATCTCTAATCTCCCCCCTCCGTTCTTCGCCGCCTCAGCCGGGTGTGACATCCATCCAACGTTAACGCTGACTTCGGGTGTTCTCGATATTTTGTCATATAATACTTGCCTTATAAGCTGTTATTATTGCGGCGTTTCGCAGGTTCGAGGAGTCCGTGAGCTTGATGTCGGCCGAATCGTTGAGCGCAGAAGCTTCTTCGGGTAACTTCGAGACGGAAAAACCGATGCCGCCCAAAACCATAGCCCGGGCCGACAGCAGCGGCAGCAACGACACCAACAGCAGCGGCGGAGGTCCGGCGTTGAGAAAGACCAATTCTCTCAAGACGTCCGTCAGGCCGGCGGTGGTGACGAAAAAGATGGCCGAACTGCCCAAACGGACCAGCAGCTTCAGGACAACGACACCAGCCGTGGCGACGGCGCAGAGGCCGTCGACCGCGGTAAGGACCACCTCGTCTCTGGCTAGACCTTTGGCCAAACCGACGTCGACGACGACGGTGCACAGACCCGGTCTGGTCAGGACTGCTGACGGTGCTAGTTCGAAACCGGTGGAGAGGTCTAGTTCCAAGAGCAGTTTGCGCAGCTCCAGGAGTTCGCTGAACAGCAGCACCAACTCGGCCGGCACGGTGGTGAAGAAAATCCCGGGCATATCCGCGTACACCAAGGCCATAAACGACCTGACCACGGACCTGAAGGCGAAGAAACCTCTGGGCGCCGCGTTGCAACCGCACAACGGCAGGAACGCGGTGACGGTGGCCAGCAGGAGCAGCAGCAGCAGCGGCAGCAGCGGCATCGCGGTGGCCAAGCCCAGACCGTTGCAGAGCGCGAGTTTCAAAGAGAACCAAGGCAGCAGAGGCGCAGCCAAGACGTTGGGATTCATGAGGCCCACGGCTGCCAGCACGGCAAAGGACTTGGTCGACGCCGCTGGCAAACCAAAACCTCTAGTCAAGAAAACAACGTTCAAGTAGCCACACTTGACAACTCTATAAGCTCACACGTCACACACACACACACACACACAAGTCACACTCATACTCGAGAAACGCCTGTCCCGCCGGAGAACGGTACTGCGCAGAAACCGCGACCAATTATGCATGGGTCGTGTTTTGGTTTCTGCGCGGTACCGTTCTCTGGCGAGACGGGAGAGTATAGACAATAATATTACACTATTATACCATCTGGCAATTTTGAAAAAATTGTTTTCACCGATAGGTCATTTATAGTTAGTTAACTTAAGTCGTAAGCAGCCAAGTGTCTGGCGTTGTTGGACGTCTCAAATCGGATCCCCGTTACCAATTTTAAACCAACCACACACGGACCATAGATTTTTTTTTTTTAGTAGAAATTATTATTATTACCTATGTTGTATTATTTTTTTAAAAATATTTTTATTTTTATTATTAACTTTGTAGGTATTTTGAAAACTAATATAATATGCATTATTATAATATATGTTGTATAATATAGATTTTTTTATATATATAATCTGGTATCTAGTCAGAATGCATTGATACACAATCAAAACAAAGGTGCCTTTCATATAAGCTATATTAAACAATTATTACACTGTGTTTTTTTTTATAGTCTCAAAATTTATAAACTATATTATTATTATTATTTTTTTTTTTTTAATCGGTTTATTTGACTTTAACTTGTACAACTTTTATATTTTTTTAAACGCTTGATTTGTACACAATTGAGGCCTAAGCATCATTATTATATATACCTATATGAAATAATAATAGAGCTTTACAAGCGTAATATGTTTTGCACTAACACTATTGTTTTTTTTTTCTTTAAATAAATTATAATAATTGTTGTGTAATAAAACGAAATAAAACGAAAATTGTCTACGGATTTCTTTATTGACAACAACGTCAGACAGAAACCACAGCAGCTGGCGGCGGAGGTCGTAAAACGTCCTTAATATTATTTTATATTTTATTCCATATTTGTTTTATGAGCTCTATATAAATCACACACACACATGAACGTGATTGAAAAACTAGTCTTGACCAACTGTGTAGTAACACCTACATGTCATGCTCACTATGTATAGAGTAAAAATAATACTAATCTGAATTAATGAATAACCTTGCATATGATAATTGGTCGATGTTTATCCTTCTGTGATTTCAAAACTAATAGTAAACAATTTAAATGCACAGGTAATAGGACATAACAAATATGTACAACTAGATTATGTGAATATTTTATCATCTAAACTTCTAAATCACACGGTTAGAGTGATACACGGTCTTGTTGCCTAATTGAAACCGACACATATTTCACATTTAAGAGGTCCATAAATGGACCGTATCGTATGTTTTCTCTAGCTAATTAAATATGTATTATCTTAAATAATGTCACTTACAAGTAGTCACAGTGCAACGACTGTTCGGTGGAAGTTTTCATAGCCGGGCTGGAACCATTCCAATTTGTGATTCTAAAATTAGGTCCTTGAACGCTTAACGGCCCCTCGAGATGGTTGCATGGCCGTCAGTTGTGTGTACCAGCTACACACTTTAGCACAGTGTTGTTATGATGAACGATTTGCCTGTGGCAACAGAAGCCTTTTCGATCCGGCACGCCCGGTTTAGAGACACCTTGAAACCCGAAGACGTTGACGAGTTCTCGAAATTCGCCAAAGACAAGCAAAAGATTCGGTTTTTGTATCGGCGTTTGTACGGTGCACAAAATGACGACGAACCAAGTGGCATCGGTGGCGGCTACAAAGACGGAAACAAAGCTCTGGACTTGAAAAAAACCGGAAACGGATATTTCCAAAAGTCCGATTACGTCCAAGCGTTGAGTTGGTACAGCCTTGCGGTTTTTCAATGTCCTCAAACTGGCGGTGGTAAGTCAACGAGGGACAAGGGAAAATAAACCCTTTGTAGCAAAAATCACCTAACCTAACCAGAATCGTTCACTGTTATCAACAATAAACAATTTTTTACATTTTATGTCTTTGCTTTGGCACACAACCGGAAAAACCCCAACGAAAATGTCTGATGATTTATCTGATAAGATAAGAGAGATAATAGAGATAAGAGATATTGACATTTTATGTCTTTGCTTTGGCACCATAGACCTAATCAGAATGGACCGCTCATATCATTGTAAAATTGTATTAAATTAATACACCTAATAACAACAAAAAACTTTCTCTAGGATTAATTTGGAAAATTATTTTGTAAACACGCCAAGCCATTGAATGGACCAGGAGCCATTAAATAACCATTTATTACAGCTTATAAAATAAATGATTAACAAATTTGATAATATAAGAATCCATCGTGTAACAAATAGAATGTAAATAAAATCGATAGCAGAGTGAGGCAGTTTTATACAAAACTTGTACATTTTCACAACCGATAATATATTATAGTACAAACCACAGCTTTTTGTACAATAACCATTTTTATTACTATTTAGTATTTATTCGTTTTTACCATTTTATTTAATAATTATATTTATACTCCTTTTTATTACTATTTTGTAATAGGTAGTTTAATTTAATTTGTAAATAACAAGTATATTTTATAATAATGTATAATTTATGAACTAGTTACACTGTATTTTATTAAATAATATTAAATAACTGTCAGTATTTGATTTAAAAAAAATGTGTTATATAAATAATATTAATATATATTTAAATTTAATAATATAACATGTGATGATATAATTCCAAGGAGTCCATCGTCTACAACATCTTTGGTATTCCCTTACTAGCTTCATCTCTATCGCACATATTCATTCTTATTAGGTCTATGTTTGGCACACAACCGGAAAAATCGACAGTTTTTATCATAACGAAAATTTCTGATGATTTATCTGATAAGAGAGATAAGAGATTAGAGATAAAATGTCTACCGTGGATTCGTACGCAAGCTGTTGTAAAGGGATGTGGATGGTTAAGCATTTCGATCAGATTCATAACTTTCTTACCCCTACAGTCTCTAATCTCTCTCATCTCTCTTATCTCTTTTTCCGGCGCTAAGATATACCAACTGTCAGCTGGATCAATTTAGATCATTGTTAGTAGTTCTCCTAGAAATGTTATGCCCTTTATCTTTGAAATTGCATTTTATTGGGCTCCCAGCTAAGAATAGCTGATGTCGGATTTGTTCTATGATGGCCGTCTCCTTTTCTAGACTGGTCAACACAACTGGCAATTCTCTATGCCAATCGATCAGCGTGTCTGTACCATTTGAATCTCTACGACTTGGCCATAGCAGACGTGCAAAGGGCCTTCGGCCATGGTTACCCAGACGAGCTCCTCTACAAGATCCACGAAAGGTGGTTTGTTAACGTTGTCAAAAACAATAATTGTCCGTGTTTAACGGGTCTTGTGGCAGTTTAGGAAAGCGAGGTGTTTGCTGGCTACTAATCGTCTGAAATCGGCTTTGGAATCGTTCAAAGCCACTTTGCAAACGCTGGACAAATCAAAATTATCACTGGACAAGCGCCGGAAATGGCAATTGGACGTGCAGATCATGGTGGAAATGCTTGCCAAAGACAAGAACGCCAAAAACGGTATGTCTCAAACGAATAGGTAGAGGCGTTCGCTCGTTACAGAGACTAAAGAACGGTAGTTTTCAGAATCGCAACCCAGGACAGCACAGCAGCAAGACGGTCCTCCCAAGGTGTACGGAGCGCCAAACGACACCTATCCGGCGGCGACGGATGCTATGCGTATTGAATATGATTCGGTCGAAGGAAGACACGCCAAAGCCAGCAGGGACATAGTGGCGGGCAAAGTGGTGCTGGCGGAAAGAGCTCACGCGTCAGTTCTACTCCACAAGTATTGTCATTCGCACTGCACCAACTGTTTTGCCAAGTGAGTCGGCGGCGGGGTGTAGGTATACATTAGGGGAAGTTTGCGAGTTGCATCGATTGTGGGCAGAACGAGAGAGAATGGGTCGAGACAGAGGCAGTGACAGGTGTTATTAAGTACGACAAACGAAATCCTGAGGGGGACACTCGACATGATTCAAGATATACAACTGGACCGCTCCTTACCTCGTTTCAGGCTAGTGGCGCCTTTGCCGTGTCCGGACTGTGATAGAGTGGCTTTTTGCGGGGAGCCGTGCAGGGAGACGGCTCTGCAATCTTACCACGCCGTCGAATGCTCGATAATGCCCCAGTTGGTGGCAGCCGGATTGTCTGTCACTTGTCTCATGGCCCTTCGAATCGTCACCCAAAAACCGCTGAAGTACTTTACCGGTTTGGAACGCAAGCTCGACCAGCCACAGCTCGTACCCGCCAATGTTGTCAAGTACGAACCCGACGACTACGTGGGTCTGTACAACTTGGTCACTCACCGAGATTCCAGGTCCGTCCAGGACGTCTTGCACAGGGCTCATCTGGCATCGTACTTGTTGCGGTGTCTGAAAACGACCGGTTATTTTCGAAAAAACCACCAAGAACACGCGGCATTCCTTACCGACGACCAATCCTTCGTGGGCAGCCTACTACTCCGCCATCTGGAATTGCTTCAGTTCAACGCCTTCGAAGTTTCCGAACTCCAAGAGTGCCAGCAGAGTACCGTTTTCATAGGCGGAGCCGTTTATCCCACGCTGGCACTTCTCAACCACTCTTGCGACCCTTGTGTCGTCAGGTAAGTGCAACGAACATGTCTTCGAGCCAACGGGTACACGTCTTGTGATATCAACTATTCCCCGGATACAGGTATCATCGGGGCACCACCGTGGTAGTGCACACTATTCGGGACATAAGAGCCGGCGAACCGATCACAGAAAACTACGGCCCGGTGTACACTTCACAGACCAAAAACGAACGTCAGAAAAATCTCAAAAACAGGTAAAATAATTAACCAAAAGTATAGTATTAAGTCGTAACAAAATATAAAGAGACGAACTAACATAATTGACCAGCTTGTGTGCAGCGGTGAAGTAAACACAAGGGCTACAGACAGTATGACCACACTAAAGACAAAAAAAGTCTTTATTGTCGAGCGGTTGGTACTCTGTAATATGATAAAGTAGGGTTTTACCTCCATAGATAATAATTGAAGTTACCAAAACTCCCACGAGGACGTATTGTACCACTCCAAGTTAGTATACAAGCCACCCATGACTTGCTGATGTGGAATGTGGATTTTAGATTGCTTCTTTAAGTATAGACATACATTTTGGGTTATTATACTTACTTGGCGTGAAATTCAATCAGTCAATATTCTTATGTTCAACGATGGCATATATAGTTTAATACCCTAGTTTATTGTTCAAATCAATTAATATGCAAGTTCCTATTGGAAACGATAATTTGTTTTCTGTAAATGTAAACAGAATGTTGTATTATTAAAACATAATACATAGTATAAAACATGAAAATGGAGTTTTGAAAAATTATCAATATAAATAATTATTGATTATGGCGTTTCAAAAGATATATATTTATAATAAAACTTTGTTTTCTTTCTTTCTAAGAGTTATATCGGTCGACTAACCGAGGAATAATAATTGTCTAGATATTGGTTTGAATGTAACTGCACGGCTTGTTTTCAAGACTGGCCGACATTGGACCAAGTGGAAATGAGCAGATCGCTAAGAATCAAATGTTCAAGCTGTCAAAACGCTATTACGGTTTCTACAGAGTCGATGGACTTTGCGGCAAAATGTGCCGTCTGTTCTAAAAGCACAAATTTATTTAAAGCGTTACAAGTTTTGCAGGTATATGTTGTCGTCGTTCAATAGTTAAAATTGTATTAACATTGTTTACTGGAAATTCAATTATCCTATCATTTTTTTTTTTACAGGATACAGAGTGTAAATATTCAAACGCAATCGCCAAAATGGACAAGGGAGACTATCGTAAGGCTTTGCCAGAATTTCTGGCCCTCTTAACATTGTTGCAGCAACATCTTGTGCCGCCATTTAAAGATTACCATTTGTGTCAACAAGCCGTAAAGAAATGTATACTATCGTTTGGCAACAAGTCTTTGAGAAATCTTCGACGCTGAGTAGCCGCCACACAAACTTTTTATTGTTTAAATATCATTATAGACACACAAATAACTTGTAGAGATCATAAATAGCTAGTCGTCAAATAGTTTTATTAAAAAAATATATATAATTATTATGTGCAACGAAAAAAAAAAAAAATGATTCATAAATCTATAATTATTAATATTACTTCTATAAATATACGTATATTATCATAACTTATAATAATAAACCATAATTTCTAGTCTTTTGTACCGTTCTCCTATCAAAAGGTGACTTACACTTTATCGTTAGGTTAAAATTTGTCAAAACAAACATAAAGGGGAAAAAAAAAAATTGTCAAAGCTATAATTTGTTATACAAACACCGTCGTTCTGTTGTCGCGAGGAAATGAACCATAATCATATTATCCCATAACATTCCTCCGGGAGGCTAGCAACACGATTTTGCTGGTTCGGCTTCGACGTAGTTATTGAAATCTATATTGGCCGAATGATGGGAATAACCGCTCTTGATGCCGTCCCAACCTTCTTCCATTTGATATTCACCACTCTTTATTCTTTGGTAAATCTGGAATCGTCAAATAAAATATAATACATGTTGTTTTTTTTTTTTTTATCATGTTGTGACACAAACTTTTGAATGTTTGACGCAAGTACTTACTTCTTGAGTGATTGCGGAAAAAGCTAATTCGACGTTAGAACCCGTTTTGGCAGATGTTTCCACGGTCAACATGTTGTGTTCGGCGCCAAATTGTTTAGCCTCTTCTTCGGTTACTTCTCTTTTACTGAAACCACTATTTACCTGTAAAACGAAAAAAAATGTTGACTTATTACAACCAAAATTAGCATATAAATAGTTGTTTAAAGCATTGGATAATTTTTTAAGTTAGTTCTCAAAGAAATTCAGTAATGTACATAAGAATAATAATTATGATCTACCGTTGAAAAATTACTTTAGTTAATGCAAATAAAATCTACTCAAGTATCATACAAACCTGTATAAATACATTTTTTTTGTTTAATCGAATTTATGCACGAAAATAAAACATAAATCAAATTTAAAAAGAGTAACTCATAAATATTATATAGCATATTATATACACACAAATAACTAGCCTGACTGTGTACCAGACTTCACCTGGGTAAATAAATACATATCGTGTTAAATAATATTTAATAATAACAAATAAATCTCTCATCAGTAATCCAGGGATTACCGATTTCTCCTTATCACCGTTCTATTCCCTTCCTTTAATGGTTCCAACTTCCACCACATCCCTTCTGCTTAAAACATATAGTAAACCTTAGCCAGAGAATGTATCTATAAACTTAAAAACAACAAACAAAATGTTGTATATATCGTTTCCATTATTAAACTAAAAACACTATAATAACGAGAAACAGCTGTTCTTATTTAACGTAGTGTACTGACGGACTCCTCTCCTGTCCAAAATCGAAGCTCAAAAGTAGCCTTTGTCCTTTGTCGGGCTACAAGGAACTTTTTTGCCAATTTTCATTACGGTCGGTTTAGTGGTTTAGTCATGTGTACACAAACGCACTTTCGGATTTATAATATTTGTATAGATAGTTAAATATAAACATACCTAATAAGCTTTGTTATAGTTTATAAAAAAATTATTAGAATAGTGCACTAAAAATGTATTTTAATTACAATTTAATAATAATGTTGTCTCCGCGTATTATTAATAATTTTTTTTTTGATTACGATGTGAAGACAACAAGGTAATGGTTTTTGAATAACTTTAGTTTAGAAAAAAACACACACCGCGTTTCTATTTTACTTACTAAGTCTAATTTACAACCGACTAGAACGAATACAGGCCGATGGGGTTCAATGTGCCTTTTAGCGTCATTCATCCAGACAGGTATGTGTTCAAAACTGGCTCGTTTTGTAATGTCGTATATTAAGAGAGCTCCTACTGAATTTCGATAGTACGATTTCGTTATGGATCTGAAACATTTACCCCGTAAAAATCGGTTAACTCGACACACGCTATTTTTTCAATTCGATACTTACCTAAATCTTTCCTGGCCCGCCGTATCCCATAGTTGCAATTTGATTCTCGGCCCGTTGGGTATCCGTATGGTTCTAGCAAAAAAATCAACACCCACTGTAGGATCGGACACCTAAGTATAAAATTTTTCAATTGATCTCTGTACAAACAACAAAAACGTGGTGCACTCACTTCGGCAAATTTGCCATCGTTGAAAAACTTCAAAAGCGAGCTTTTGCCCACCGTGCTGTCGCCGATCAAAATCAATCTGAACTGATAGTCGAACATTAGGTCTGCCATATTGAAACGGGATGAACACGTTTGGTTTTCAATCGAATTTTAATATATCTACTATTATTTTTGTTTTGTCACGTTCGACGACAACCGACGAAGACGACTAAAGTGTTATGCAAAAAATTAAATAGAACGTCGCACTCACGTTACCATTTGATCGTTTGAATGTAACTGTAGCTAGTGGAAATAACAACAATAATTCTTTGTGTATAAATAGTTACGGCGTAGGTAGGTAAATTTTTATGTAATCGTTGAGGCCGTTCAATGTTTTCTTTTATCTCTTCGACTTGTTTAATGCAAATGTTGAGATAATGCCCTTATCGGTAGAGCGTTTTACGGTTTTTGATTTGGCCGTTTCTCAAGGTCATCGGTCAGCTGTTGTGCGTGACCTGGTAACCGGTATTGCACACTAACCACAGTCAGCTGCAACCGTGAACGGTAAAAGTGCAAGCGGTTTTACTTTTAATTTTTAAATAATTCATACCTTATAGCCACTATATTAGCTAGCCTATGCCCTATAAGTGCTTTAACAGGGCCACATTTCCCATTAATCAACCTGGGCACGTGTCTATGGCTCTCAAATTCATTTCAATTACACATTTTTTATACACCAGTAAGAACCATTAAGTAAGTGTACATTTTTATTTTTGTGAAAGATTTTTAAAACGATACCATAATTCACTAACTTTACCTACAGTTCACTTTTACAAACCTGATAAACTAAAATAAAAACCCATGTAAATCGAGTTAGTGGTTCAAGAGTTGTAAGTTATAACTGCATAGGCGCAATTGGGGGGAGGGGGGGCTCAGAGAGTATTAACATCCCCAATTTCGAAATAAGCACCCTCTAAAATTCTTTGTTTATATGTATTAAAAAATCTCTGCATATAAAAATGTATAAACATTTGGCTTAGGGTTTCAACGAGTCTGGAAAGACTTACAAATTTATATATATATATAGTATAAAAAAGAAATTTAGAAATGTCAAATTTTATTAAAATACAAACATAATAAATTGGCACATTTGCAGAATAAGCAAAGCGTATATTATAACTCTTGTATAAAATACCTGTAAACTGTATTATATTTGTATTATTTTTTGTTGTAAAATTAAAATGCTAGTGTTTTAAATGTTAAATTATTATACAACATCCTTGCTCAAACATAAAAAAAAAATTAACTTTATTAATTTAAATTTAAACACCTTGAAAATGCACAGCTTAAGCTCCCTCGATTTTTTTTATATTGAAATTGTGCCTATACTTTGTAAGTATGCCAACACCATATTATTAAAAATTTCATGTATTTAATAATACAATAAAAATTGACATTATTACATGAGGATAATGACCTGTTTATGGATGGGGGGGGGGGAATATCTAGGTATAAAGTGTATCATTAATGGTGAGGTGAAATTTCAGAAAATGTCTATACTTTATTGAAAAGAACAGTTAATTAAATAAGACTAAGTAGAAAAAATATATACAAAACCCAGATGATATACTGTAGTTTCATTGTGTTTTTATTTTTTTAAAACTTGGTTTGAAATTTTAAAGTAAGTACTTTTTTTATGGGTCAGGTGCGATGGTAAAAATTATATTTTATTTTTGTGGCAGTTGCCCTTCAAACAATTTTTGTATTATAACTCAATCAAGTGGTTCCTAGCAAGGGCGGATAATAATAAATAATAAGTGAAGACGTTGTTGATAAAAAATTAAAAAAAGGTAAATAATTAGCAATAGTACTATTAATTTTCTAGCAAATTACTTACAGAAAAATGGTACTTTTCTGTTGTAAATTATAAGACAATAGTCAACTATTGTTAATGTACAATATGATTTTAAGCGACTTACCTCTGAAAGCGTTGGTGATGTCTAGAGTGATCTAGAGGTTATCCGGAATACTGAACACACGATTTTAAATAATAATAATTACATAATGGTTATTCATATTATTAAAACCAATTACAAAAGCAGTGACTAATTTCTTGATAATATTATGTTGGTCATCGAATAATGTTTTTGATGACTAACAAACATCAATTATGATATGTAGATTTTAAACTAGGAGCAGACATTTGAAAAGGACCAACGCCTTCCTTAACTAGGAATTTTTAAATATCGATAGATATTTTTAAAACAGAATTGTTTTATACAGTGTACCTACTTATTTGTAGGTACTTTATTAGTACCTATTTACTAATAGAGAATAGACATTAATCATTACAAAGCTACCAAATTGAAAAATTCATTCTTGAAAACCAGCTTTAGTGTTAAAAGTGTAAAATAACAAATTATTATTCGTGTATGATAATATTATAGTGTAATAATCATGTAAGTTTCATGTAGGTATTCATGATGGAGTCAGTCTGGCACGACTGTAGAATATTTTCTAGTTAGGAAAACAAACAAACAAAGAGACAATGCAAGAAGTTTTAAAACTTTTCCCGTGTAAGATTGAAAGCAGAACAATTATTAATGCTGTCACGTGACCGTAACTTTCGAACACGCTAAACGATCAAAGATTGACAAAGGCTTTTACAAATATATATTTTTGAATTAGTGTTTAATAAAAGCCATAGAAATTGGTTAAAGTTTTTCAATAAGAAAATCTAAATTAAGTTGTCTTTATCTAAAAATGTTAGTGATTAAAATATGTATTAGGTGTTTAGCGCGACACATTGGCTATTTTTTTTGATATTTATAGCCCGTTTACAACTTGTTTACATCAATAAGAAAGTTCCATTAAGAAAATACACTTTTATAGGTACACATTAAATGAATGTAAAAAAACAGTGGTTGTATAAATTTATAAATTTAATCAAGTAAAATATTAAGCAAACCTTTGTTAAAAATAAACAGTTCAAACACGATAAGCCGCTTTTTTTTCATATATATGTACATACAAAGTTTTCTCTTTTATTACATATTTGCTCGATATGTTATTAATCGCTATCAGAAGCTCTAACGCTCTCTTCATCGCTGTTGTCGGTTATAGAAGAGTCCGTGTTTACGCCAGCATCGCTGGCGGCACGCTCCGAGCTCTTTTTACTTTCGACTTCGACATCACTGTTATCGCTATCCGATTTGGCTTCGCTGGAGATCCGTTTCCTTTGGCGTTCATCCTCGCTGTCGCCACTCTGAGACGTGTCTTTGGCGGCCTTGACCGGCGTATCGTCTTCCGACTTGCCGCTTTCGTCGGTTCCCAAACTGTCTTTTCTAGGAGTGCGTCGGCTCACCTTGCGGTTTTTCGTTTTCTTAACAACACTAGTGTCGCTGTCTGAATTCGCGTCGCTGTTCGACAGTGCAGCGCTTTTTCTCGTTTCTTTATCGCTGTCGTTGCTGTCGGAACCACCGGCGCGCGTTGCATTCCGGTTTTTCGAATCGCTATCGCTGTCCATATTTTCGCTGATCGTACGTTTCGACTTGTTGGTCGAATTTCGATCATCGTTGTCACTCGCATCGCTGCCGGAAGTCGCAGAATCTCTTTTCGTCGTGTCTGTAACGCAAATTTTGTTTTTGCAAATTAAGAATAAGTAAAAAAAAAGCCAGTACAGTGTGGTCGGGGCATAGTGGGGACGGAGAGGTCTACAGATTTTATTATAACTGAAAGTGATGAAATCACTTTTAAATAAACGCTTCGATGCGAATCTGTGGATAGTATGTTCAAACTGGTTATAGTGGTTTAGAAGATATCGTGGGACCAGGAATAATGCACTTAAAATTTAATATTTAGTCTTGTGCAGGGTGGATACGATAAGGGTTGATCGTCAGTCTATATGTACTGTCATAGTTACCCATATATCGTAATTAACAATATAATGAAAATATTTTTCACTACCTGTTGACTGTTGATTCACACACACATAGCAACCTGGAAACTGACTACGACCAAAGTGTAAATTTACCCTATTTTTGGGGGTTTTCCTTAATAAAAAAAAAATTTTGACTGCAGATTTTTGAGAAAATTGTATATGTTATAGTTCCATTTTAGATCTACCTTTGATCTAATTTTCACATCTAAATCTTTAAAACTTTGCTTGAAAAAGTGAAATAAAGAAAAAAATTCTATCCCTTCTAGGGGAAAGGGTTTATGATATTTTTTTGTTTTGTTAATGTTTATCGATAGTACTATGTTTGAAGAACAATTCAATATAAATTTGGAACTTTTTCGACTATTTTTAAAAAAGTTATAGAGCATCGTAATTTTAAGTTGAAAAATTTGTAAATTTTTTAGGTGTTTTTCTCGATTTTGATGGGAAAGGGGTGACTTTTTTTAAAATTTTTGGCCCGATAAAGTACCTTACAGGTATGATTTCTGATCTATAGAGTTGCTACGCGAAGAAATCGGTTCAGCGGCTTACGAGATATCGAGGGTCCAGACACAAAAAAATTAAATAAAAACACATCATTGTAAAAACAATACCTTCTCAGATTCACATCGAGCTAATATATTACTATCGTTTACTGAAAGTTATTGTCTATTGGAAATGAGTGTGTTAAACTGTGACTTAATAAGTTTACCTCTTTTCGATTCGTCGTCATCGTCGTCATCGCTGTCGTTTTTGTTTTTACTAGATAAAGCCTTAGCACTTTCTTTCGCGGCTAAAAATTCAATTAGAAACAATTGTTTAGTATTTAATATCGACAAATTTAAGTAAACCATTAATTGAAAGGATTACACGCTAAATATACTTTAGTACAAGTAGTGTATAATACCTGGGAAGGGTATTAAAACAACACTTTTAAGAAAACTAGGCATTCAAGTCTTAAATCGTAATATAAAAAAAAAATGTATCAAATATATAATTAAATTACCAAGCATAGCTTTTTTGGCCGCTTCTTCGGCTTTTTCTTCTTCTTCCTCGTCGTACGGTTGTAACTGCTTTTCTCTGAATTGGTGAACACTGAATTCCTGTTCATTAATAGGAACGTGTCTTACGATTAGTCTGGTATTAGTACTGCTGCTTTGTGTTCCGACCTTTTGTCTTCTTTTACTCAACCGCACTCTGATTTTTAAAAAAAATTATTATATATTTTACTTTTCTACATTAAGCTTGTTTTTATGAACAACTAAACTACTAACCTGGTTTCTAGTTCATTATAGAATACGCCGTCGTCTCGTACTATTAAGAAATAGTTTTCTTCGTAACCTTTACTACTCTTGCTCTTAACGTTCCAATTGTATTCTCTAGCCATTTTGTATTCATACTCGTAATCATCGTCGTAAGGAACGTTTTCAACAGCATCTTCACGCCGTTTAAATATTGTTTCTTCGGATGGTAAAAAGTAAGCAACAAACTGTTCGCCGCTTTCATCCATTACACCTCTGAAATTTATCATTATTATTGTCGAATATGTTTTTTAATGTTAAAACTCGAAACTATTACAAAATGATGTCTCTCGATAAATGTGTCAAGAATTAAAACAGCGTGATACATTCCATAGTGTTATTTCTTATAGACATTTTCTTGTATAATATAAAATATGTTTATAAGCAACCAAAAAAATACCTAATCATAGCTTGAGACATCTCTTCTATTTGTGCTGGTACAGGTCGACCCATGGGCGCGGGATCAGAATCGAAAATGACTTGAGCACAAGGATATTTCCAATTCTGAAAATCAAGTATGTTTTTATCTTTGTGGAATAACATAAATAATTTAACTTTAACGGCGTTACGTAATGAATATCGATTAAATCAGTGTTTAATTACTGAAAATGTATTTCATACCTTGAAATCTGGGAAAAAGCTTAAGGTCTCGACGGCGTGAACATTAGGCTTACTATAATGTTTCTCGACGGGTTTTTTGTTATCCTCGAAAGTCTTTTCAATGGCTTTCATTTGACTGTCTCGATCCATATACAGTGTCTCTTCCTAGTGTACGTTAATTAACGGGGGTTTAAACAAACAACCACAAACTTGATCGTAATTACAATAATACCTTAAAGTTCTTTTTAATACTGAATCCAACTTTGGCTTCGACTTTTTCAATGGTTTGTGGCTGGAACCGAGTTTGTTCAGTTGAAATGTATTCTGTGCGTCGCAACCACGATACACTTCTAGCATGATGTCTCGACCTAAAATTGTCAATACATTGTATTATACTTAAAGAACGAGAAACAAAAGAGATTGTTCAGCTTGAATATTTTATATGCTGTCTTTCGATACGCTGAATTTTATTGTAAACTGGTTAGATTTTAAATTGAATACCTTTTGGAATTTGTGGGCGCCAACATGTCTTCTTCCAACAGTTTCTCGTCGGCAGGATCCATTTGAGCCGAATTGTCAACGGTGTATTTATCTTTATTGACCAGATCGATGTTGAGACCCAAATCATGATCGGCGAGAATTTCAAACTTGTACGACCGTTCGAGGGACGTCGGATTGTACTGTATGAATCTGATTAAAGCATAGTGTTTTATGTTAAGCGTTAACCTGACTGTGTTTTTGGTTTGTTTAATTACGATGTCGATAAACAGCTTACCTGGTCGGTTGAAACGGATACGAAAGAAACTTCAAATCAAACGGAATGTCCGGTAACGTATTGCAATACTTGACGCGACACACCAAATCAGATCTGGAAAACATTATTGCAATAATTATCTACTTCAGGATGCCAATTGGGTAAGTTATTTATTTAACTTACCTCCTTTCAGCTGGCCGCTGAGGCCTTTTTTCCGGCGTTGCATTATTTTGTATTGTCGGAGCCATCGGTACACTTCTTAGAAGGTACCTCCTAAATAGATAAGTGTAAACTGTGTACTAACGATAATAAAATACAATTGAACGTCTACAAAAACAACAATAATCTATTTACTCATAATTTGTCACGACTTATAATTTGTTGTTTCCATACTAATAATAATAATTGGCCGAAAAAACTGTTATCATATTTAAAATGTAAAATTTATAATGCCAAAATATCAAACAAATTTTAGACGGCACAACATGTGATAAGCAAAACGGCCTCTGACCAACAATATCTTTTTTAGTAGTAAATTAATCCGGTAGATACCGCTTAAAGTACCTTTAAAACAGCTATTATATTAGGTATCCTTATTTTATTAAGGAGTCAAGGTATAGGCAATCTTTTGAAGAATCTTAATTTCTAGTTGTAACTGAAAAAAAACACAAAGAGCACGGATGTACCTTGGTGTGAATTTTGAACGGATGAAATCTATTGTTTATACATTTATTAAGTTACTTACTCGTAGCAGACCTACCGTTATTTACTTTGATCAATTTAGAGATATATAGACTGTACCTAATTATGTCATTTGTTACATTTAATCAATACTTGGTTTTTCAGTTATATTTAATTTTTCTCCTTAAAAATTTTTGACCTAACCCCCAGCCATAAGATACAACAGTCAAAATACCCTGTATTATATTTTTTGACTACTTTACTATGTATAGGAAGCAGATTCTCATTAAAAAATGTCAATTTCTTGTAATTTTATATATAAAATTTTCAATTTTTCCAATATTAAAATGCAATCTTTTTACATAAATAAGCAAAAAAAACAGACCGCATGCAATCCAGGGTTGCAAAAAAAAAAACAGTTTCTAAAAAAATACAAAAAAACCGTTTATTTTTTTTGTTTAAAACTATGTTTTTAATGTTTTAATCTGTTTTTAATATAATTTAAAAATTATGTTTTAAACATGTTAAAAACATTGTTTTTTTTAATTTAAAACGTTTTAAACTAATTTTAATTAAATTTAGTATAGTATACAATTATGTAGAAATTGTAAATATATTACATATTTACTAAATACTTACCAATTCCGGATGATTATTTTTTTAATTCTAGTTGACTATTTAATTCGATATTTACTCCTTTGAAATAAACAATAGTTACATATAAATAGTTCTAGTTTCTACTCTCTACAGACTACAGAGCAAACTCTTGGGCACATTTCTTAGTTTTAAGTTTTAACTACACTACTGACAGTATAGGAAGGACTTGAGGTGATTTCTATACAATGATTGTAGTACAAACTACTATGTAGACTATATACATAATTATTTAATTTTAGTATTTAGTAATCAGTATAGTGTATTATGTAGACATACAAATAATACATATTTGATATTAACTATTATACTATACTTTGAAATCTGAATTTTGTATGTTTCAACAAGTACAAATTAATTATTTAAATTAAAATACCGCTTACGTGATAATAACCCGCTGTAACAGTGTGGCCATCATATAATTGTATAACTTTATTTTAGTACTACTTAATTTTGTAAATAAATATAAATACAAATATTACTGTAAATTTTGTTTTGTGCACTTGTGCCTGTTAAGTAAACAAATAATTAAATAAAAAAGAACATATGCTTAAAACTTTTGTTCAAAACACTTTGCAATCCCCTTAAAATCAAATTTTACACGTTCTTCCTAAATGATGCCCAAATAGCATGAACTTTAAGATATATCTTAGTTCATGGCTAGTAGCACTTAAGAATTTAGCCATTTGTTATGATAGTATTATATCATATTATATCTACTGTTTGTGATGTTACCAACAGGGCCGGCCTAAGGCATAGGCATAGATAGAACATAAACTAAGTATAGTATATTAATTAGACATCATGTCCGCCATTAGACCACTTTTGTATACCTATAAATGGGGGGGGAAAAAATGGTTTCGCGTACTCACGTTCAAATGTGTGTATATATTACCTGATTTCTGCCTACCGTGTACACGTATGTATGCTATAGGTAGGTATAGGTATATTAGGTACACAAGGACCGGTTTCAGTTCCTGTCTGTTATAAATCCATATATTGTTATTTTGTTCCCCTCGAACGTTTTTCGTTTTTTCGCCGGCGCGGCTTTAAGGAAGTGAACACAAAATACAAATATAATATATATATATATATATATGATTGTGCATATTATTATTATTTATTATAATGGTTGTGTGTGTGCACATACAGAACGACGCCCCCGACGACGGCGTTTGTGTTGTGAAAATGGGGCAAAACAATGCACTAGGTAGGTCTAAGAAAAATAAGGATTGTTTTCTTATTTAGGAAATTAGGAACTGCGGGCTACCCCGTGGCATTCACCGGCGCATGCATTGCTAATACAACAGCTATGATAATAATATAATATATGCAAGGAGCATAATATTATTATATTATATTATACGCTGCTTGTTAGACACTCTGCGTGACGTTTTGTATGGGGAAAAAAAAAATATGAAAAATTGGTTGTTATTTCCAACCAATTTTGACACCTTTGGAGATCTTGCCGTCTTTTGTTGTGGTTTTTTTTTTTCAATGTATTATAATTAAACCATTATAACTTACTCTCCGGGTAGTCGACCCGGTATAGACTGCAGTAGCATTATTGTTCAGGTGCACTAAAAGCACTATATAAGGACAGTGGATAGTATAATAATATTATATTGCTGTTTAGTGTTTCCTCTACACAAACTAAAACAGTTAATAATAATAGTCATCAGGCACACTCTAACGTTAAACGCATATTGTAACCCACTCTGACAATATTGGCAATAGATTATTAGTTTTTTTTTTCAATTCCAGAGATTGGTCATTACTTATTATACATTTATAAAAAAAAATTCAAAACGTTTTTACGATAGCTTTTTCTCGTTTAAATGTTGTATTATACAGGGTGATCCACCACAATATGTAAACTGCTAATTTTTTAACAAAAACAATTGACATTGTTTGGTATATTTTTTTTTATTTCACTTTTTTCAAATGTAGGTTTGGCGCTTAAGTGTGAAAATTAGACTGACTTTAGATGAGTAGATTATTAGATCTATAATTTTTTTTTTTTATTATTCGCACACGCATTTATCTTAAGATTTAGAAATACTCAGAGATTCGCATCGAAGGCGTTTTATTTGAAAGTGATTTCATCATTCTTAGTATAATTACAATAATTGAGACACTTATTAGAACAAGGGCAAATAACAAGGACTTTTTTTTGCAAAATGCATTTTTTTAATTTGATATTTTGGTAGAATATTGGTCAAGTATGCATATACCGGAACTTCCTGTAATAAGAAAACATAGTTTTATTTAAAAAAGTGCCCAATATAAGTGTTATTTTATAAACCAAAGTACAACAGCGGTGATTAAAAAAAGTCTTGCAAAGTAAAAATGTATTGTGATGACTACTTTTAAGTGTAGTATTAATTCTCAAGTTATTAGTTGTTTTCTATGTGACACTTTTATTTTTAAGCATTTAAATATAAATAATATTGTACATAATAGTAAAATAAAATTGTTACATTTTATACACAGAACTAGTGTTTTTTTTTTTTATTAAATAAATATAAAGTTTGAATTTTAAAAGTTTCGATTAGAACAAAGGCGCATTTTTACAACTTTTAAAACATTTCTCGGGCTAAATCAAAATAAAAAATTATTATTTTACAAATAAAATCGACCCGTCAAATGTGTTAATAAATTAGGCGAAAATAATAAAGATTTTGTTTACCAAAAAAAATGTACCTAGAAAACAAGTTTTTTATGTCTCCTGGGAAAACCCAAAATTTGAAACGATACTTTTTTGAGAGAGTTTAAAAAAACAATTATCTTTTTTTTTAACTATTTTTTTAATCCTGCTTATTACCAGCAAGTACCTATGGCAAGTCGAGAAAATTATTTTACACTAGCCATCGTTACAGTCAACACTCACCAAAGTGTATAAAATATTTGCTGCGAATGCAGCCCCCATTTATATTTTTATTGTCAATTGTAACACACTATGTTTTTTTTTATTTTCGGTTAACGCCATTGTATTTTTTTGTTTATGGGACGATATTTTTTTATTTAATTTTTTTTAACTTGCGCATCACGCGGTTTTCTCATCACGAGCTAATGCCGCATATTGTTGGTTCAGCTGAAAAATACCTTGTTAACAACGGCTAACAATACAATATATATATATATATATATAAATCCGTGTAACAATGTGAGGAAAATGAAATAATGCGTTTGTCTTTTGCAACAGAATCGTGATTTGAACGTCTAAAATGCGCACTGACCCGTAACGCAGAGAATACAACTCTCTCTCTATTGATGCCAATATGTCAGAAATGTTTTTTTTTTTTTTTGTTATTACTTAAATCTTTATTATCGTTTTCAAACGTGTTAAGCCAACAATAATATTATAAATATAATGTATAGAGTACAAATTGTACACAACCATAGTGCTACAATGTTCTACTCGTGGTTTTCATGTCGTAATTCAAACTTGTTTTACAATAATATATTATAGTTATAGTGTATTTAATTTATTTTTTATGTATGTGTCCAATAGTGGGTAAGTATAAATGCGCCTAAATAAATTAAATGTTTTCCTTTATGTAATCACGTTGAGCAGACAACTAAATAGATAATATAAACTAAACTGTTTTCCAACTTGGAATAGACAGCAGGTTTGACCAGATTTTTAGAAATGGGGCAAATGTGCAGGTACAACTAATCAAAAACGGTTAAAAGTCAGGGTGAATAATTGCTAAACATAAACAAATTGTATTATCAAGCAAAATAATGCAAAACTAACATCTTAATTTTAAGACAATAGTAATTTTTAATAAAATCATATTTTTCATATTATAATAACATTGTATCTGTTAAATTAACACAAGACACAACCGTTAATCTTAATTCTTTGGTAAAATTGTAGATAAGATATTAAATTTAGGCAACGAAATAAACGGTAAATTAAATTAAAATAAAATTATTAGAAAACACATTGTCATTTTTTTGGCTTTCCTTTAAAAAATGGACTTGATTCAAAATTAAACCGCCAAAATGGTATTTTTAGCTTTCATTCAGCTGAAATTGTGGGTACTGTGTTTTGACCATTAGATTGCTAACTAGTGA